CAGAACATCTCTCTCTCTCTGTCTCTCTCTCTCATGTCCTATTACTGCATCTTGATAACTCAGCCATTCTGGATGTCACTAACTCGGCTTCTTCTCCGGAGCCTTTGTGCTCCACTGTCTCTCAGGTTAACTCGTATTGTACCGGTGCCTGGATAGTGTGACGTGTGTGGTTGTGCTGCTGCCGTGGTCCTGCCAGATGCCTCCTGCTGCTGCTGTTATCATTAGTCATACTTCTACTGTTATTATACACATATGATTATTGTCACATATGTATACTATCAGATATTAATATATACTTTCAACATAGCCACAGTAGCCAGAACTATAATTATAATATTATTACTTTCATTAATGTTGTTGTAAGCTACTGTCATTACCGTCTGTCCTGCATCTCTCTCTGTCTCTGTCTCTGTCTCTCTCTCTGTATCTCTCTCTCTGTCTCATTGTGTCATACGGATTACTGTTAATTTATTATGCTGATCTGTTCTGTACAACATCTATTGCACGTCTGTCCGTCCTGGAAGAGGGATCCCTCCTCAGTTGCTCTTCCTGAGGTTTCTACCGTTTTTTTCCCCTGTTAAAGGGTTTTTTTGGGGAGTTTTTTCTTATCCGCTGTGAGGATCCTAAGGACAGAGGGATGTCATATGCTGTAAAGCTCTGTGAGGCAAACTGTGATTTGTGATATTGGGCTTTATAAATAAAATTGATTGATTGATTGAAAATACAAAAATAACACCCAGAAATTAAAATATTCTAGTAATAATCAGCAATTTATTTGCCAAAAAAAAATGGGATTTGTACCTATATATATGAATTTTAAGCAGTTTTCCTACATTATAGAGGAGGGTGTGTCTGCAGACCTGGAGACTGCAGATTCAGACCTGCAGATCTGGACCTGCAGTTCTAGACCCCTTGTGTTTCGCGACAGCGCCCTCTGTTTCATTGGAAGCCAACATACTATTACAACTATTGAATATGGACGACAACGATTCAAGTGTGAGTATTCAGTGTGAATCACATTATTTGTTTAATGCCATCAAATTATTTTGGTGACTTGAATTAGACAGCGAAATTGATGTTTTACAGTTATACGTTTAAAATGATATGACAGTCTTTGCCATGATAGTCTGAAAGGCACGTCAAATATGGGTTAAAGTAGTAGGTAATAGTTTAGCTTGTTAGCAATGAACTGTTTGACCTGCACATTTTGTTTCATGAAACCGAAGCACGATGATGAATAATTTTAGCATGTGCTTTAAATTAAACATGAATAAATGATTAAAGCAATGAAGTGGATTTACATTTTCATACAAGCATGAAACTGTTTACATATTGGCAATTAGTGTACTTTATGCTAAAACTTAATTTTGTATTCATGTATATCATGTAATACACCTACACACGTTTACAAGCAGTAATTTCTGAGTATTATTGATGCTTCTGCTATCCCAGTATTATTATTATTATGTTGTCTGTTTACCTTTACAGTGAGGAAAGAATGGGCACTATTCAAATGGTAGGTAATGTTGCTAATATGTTGATATAATAATGTATTTGCTATGCTCCAGAAACTTCAGTATTTCAGTGTAGACTATGATAGGTATTTAATTTTTTTTTTTAAATGTTTCTGTTTTCAATTTTGTGATATGTTTGATTTCTTTTTTTCTCTGCAGATCTCCCTGATGTGTGATGTAACCACTGCACACAATAAAACATTTCAAACCATTTCAGTATTTCACAGCCTTTGTTTCAAATTACCACAACAAAAGTGAGAACTGGACACACAAGACCAGACATTTCCTATTATATGTTGTAGCGGGTTTGATCAATGCAGTGCAAGTTTTTGACGTGCCAGTCAAAGCAGTCTGATGAATATTAAGAAATAAAGAACTAAAATAGTTGGATCAAACCATACAAAACAACCAGCAAACAATAATAATGCAGAACAGCACACAGGCATAAATCAACAATTAAATCTTGGTATTTTTATTCGGGTGTAATAAAATTTTAAAATTGTAAATTGTAATAAAGCATTAAAAGTGTAACTTCTTTCAAACAGTGGTGTTTGGGTGAGACGCTGATTTAGTTGCAGTTATACAGCCGTCCAGTAGGGGACACTGTCGCAAAAAACAAGGGGTCTAGAACTGCGGGTCTGAATCTGCAGTCTCCAGGTCTGCAGAGACATACTATTGACATTATATCATAAATTTGAATATGGAATTGAATTCCCCATATATGAAAACCCGAAAAAGACATTTTACTCTGTTTTTTATCTTGTTTAGGTCATAAGATAAGTCCTTAATTAGATTTCAGCCTGGCGATGGCGGCCATATTGGATTTTTCCATTTTGAGGCATTATGGGACATGTTTGTGCTGGGCATACAGCAGATTTGAATTCAGCACCCATGAAAACCCCTAAAAACGCTGTATGACCAAAATTAACATGAAATGCCTTCGGGACCTTAAATAAGCACATTTTCTGAAATTCTGCCTAGTCTATTAACCTATCACCAACCTGCATGTCTTTGGACTGTGGGACGAAGCCAGAGTACCCGGAGTAAATCCACGCTGACACAGGGAGAACATGCAAATTGGGACTGAACCAAGAACCCTCTTGCTGTGAGGTGACAGTGCTAACCACTATACTGCTGTGCCACCCCTTGACAATAACATTAATTTTGTAATTTAAATACGTAATTGCATTATATGTAACAAATTACTCACCAACAGTGGTCACAGAAATCAATCAAAACATCAAGAGCCTAGAGAACCTGCTCTTCCTGTTACTATATTAGTTTGGTGTAGTTCCTATATCATATATATAAAAACATATATATAAACTTGGCAAGATGGCGCCTCTAGTGCGGACGCCTGTTACAGCAGCTCCTGCTCACGCCGAGCTTTTCTCTATCTTTTCTTTTTAACTTTCTCACTTTGAGTTTTTTTTTAAGTTTGGCTAGCTAGCACTTATGTTTTGCTTTGTTATGGAGACGAAGACCGCTCTCTTTACACCCGGGACCAGCTGTTAGCGCCACAACACACCACAGTGCGGCCCGAGGAGAGGCACGACATTCCCGGCGAGCTGCGGAGAAGGAGACGGGGATGTTGCGCTGGAGTGCAGCACCGACACCGGAGGAGACGGTACAAACCCGTCCTCCTGTCCGTCGTCATGGGGAACATAAGATCGCTCCCCAACAAGATGGACGAGCTGGCGGCGCTGACTCGCCATTAGAGGGAGTACCGGCAGAGCAGCGTGCTGGTGTTTACCGAGACATGGCTGAACGCGGAAGTACCGGACATGATCGCCGCGCTGGACTGATTCCAGCTCATCAGATATGACAGGCCAGCGGACAGCAGTAAGAGGAAAGGAGGAGGGCTGGCTGTGTTTGTGAATGATAGATGGTGTAACTCTGGGCACATCACTATCAAGGAACAGCATTGCTGCAGGGACATGGAGCTGCTGGCTGTTGGCATGAGACCATATTATCTACCAAGGGAGTTTTCTCATGTCATTATGGCAGCAGTGTATGTCTCCCCGTCTGCAAAGGCTGAGTCTGCTTGTGACATTCTCCACTCTGTTACAAGTAGGCTGCAGACACAGCACCCTCAGGCCCTCCTTCTGATCTCTGGGGACTTCAACCACGCCTGTCCATCCACCACCCTGCCCACCTTCACCCAGTATGTTTCCTGCCACACCAGAGACAATAAAACACTGGATTTATTTTATGCCAACACCAAGGAGGCATACCACTCAACCCCCCTGCCCCCCCTGGGAAGAGCTGATCACAACCTGGTTCATCTTCTGCCTGTCTACAGACCTCTGGTGCAGAAAGAACCAGCAACCACCCGCACCGTGAAAAGATGGTCTGAGGAGGCCGAGAAGGCCCTGAAAGAGGACCAGGACTTTGTGGACTGAAGCCTGAGCAACCACCTTCAGATTAACGCGGGTAAAACCAAAGAGCTGGTGGTGGATTTCCGCAGGCGCAGTCTCCTCCCCCCAACACTGGTGAACATCCAGGGAAAGGACATTGAGGTGGTGACATCTTATAAGTACCTGGGTGTTCATCTTAACAATAAACTGGACTGGACTAACCACATAACAGCACTGTACAGGAAAGGCCAAAGCAGACTCTACCTGCTGAGGCGGCTCAGGTCTTTTGGAGTGCAGGGGGCGCTCCTGAAGACCTTCTTTGACACTGTGGTGGCATCAGCCATCTTTTACGGAGTGGTCTGCTGGGGCAGCAGCGTCTCGGCTGCAGATAGGAAGAGACTGGACAAGCTGATCAAGAAGGCCAGCTCTGTCGTGGGATGCTCTCTGGACTCTGTGCAGGTGGTGGGAGAAAGGAGGATGACAGCCAAGCTGTCATCTCTGAGGACTAATGACTCCCATCCTCTGCAGGAGGAGATAAAAGCTCTGGAGAGCTCCTTTAGCGATAGACTGATTCAGGAACTGTGAAGGAACGCTATCGCAGGTCCTTTCTGCCTGCTGCTGTCAGGCTTCATAACCAGCACTGCTCACAGCAAACTACACCATAGACACTTTAGGGACACTATGGACACTTTACTTTATGGACACCACTATAAGCATTGCTGTCCCCCATGTTGTTATTTGCACATTCAATATTCACTTGCACTAAATATGTTCACTTTAATCCATTGCTCACTTTTTTTATCCACTGCTCATTATTATTATTATTATTATTATTATTATTATTATTGTTGTTGTTATTTATCGCTGTTTCTTGTATCTTTTGTACTTTTTTCTGCATGCCTAGTTTTTTTTTAAGTTTTTAAATATTGAAATCTTTAATTTGACTCTTTACCCTTGACTGCTGTAACACTGGAATTTCTCAATTGTGGGATCAATAAAGGTGTATCTTATCTTATCTTATCTTATCTTAATTGTGAACAATTTCCTTACAGTAATGTGAGTGCATACTTTTATTACTCTGGGTTAACTGATTTTCTTGCCTCTCTTTTTTTTTGTCCTTAATGTTTAGCAAACAGATTTCCAGATCTATTCAGAGTATTGCAACAACCACCCCAATGCCTGCATTCAGCTCTCTAAGCTCATGAAGGTCAACAAATACGTGTTCTTCTTTGAGGCCTGCCGACTCCTCCAGAAGATGATTGACATTTCCTTGGATGGCTTCCTACTCACTCCAGTTCAGAAGATCTGCAAGTACCCACTCCAACTGGCTGAGCTGCTCAAATACACCAATCCACAGCACAGGTGACTGTAGGCTCTTTCTGTGGTCCCGCAGGAAAGGATTTCAGGAGATCTACTCATCCAGCACATATGTCTTGATGTCAAAATCAATCACTCTGATTCTTTCCCTTAGATAAAGGCCAGCTCTAATTGGTCAACATGGACAGATGCAGATGATTTTCATATATTTTATTTTAAGTAAAAATCCACAGATGAGCTATTTCCAGAGCTTTTGACTGTCTATCTTCAGTAGGTGATAAAAAATATTGAAAAGGAAAAAGACGCTGTGGAAAATGGTAAGATGCACTTTAAAGGAAAAAAGCCAACAAATTGAATGAATAAATTAAGTTTTTTTTTTTTTTACGTTAGAATGTTTTACACATAGTAATAAACAATACTTCGATAAACAAAGGCCATGAATATTCAGATCATAAGCACTGTATATGCCCACACAATATTTATTGTCTGTACACAATTAGTAATCATTGACAGCAGCCCTTAGCTAAAATACTTTACAAAATTTTGCTGCGGCTGATAGGATCATATACTCCAGCTATGTTTTTGTAAGATAATAAATCCCAATTTGGAAACCCCTTTTTCTTCCTGACATTGATCTCTGAAGTAATTGTGTATTATGTACAATTTGGTAAATTTCAACAAATGTGCCTAATTCATACAGGGTCTTGTGGCATCCCAGGTCATATGTGTGTTGCTGTTACTGTTATATTGTGTTTTTATAGGTAATGGCAACTTCATTAACGCATAGAGCTGGTGTTGCTCTCACTGTCAAACATTCCATGAAAACACCAAAACTCTCATCGTCATAAAAGTCTTTTAATACCTTGTGACTTCCTCCTGAAGATTTTCAAGAACAGCTCAATGTAGTTGTATGTTTTTTTTTATAAAGGTTCAATGATTCATTAAAACAGCAGAACTTTGTAGTGTTTAGAAAACAAAAACATTGCATTTGCCGGGGACTATTTACAACGGTGGATTAATGCATATTTGGTGTGCTAGTGAATATTTTTGGCAGCAAGCTGTGGGACTGAGTGAAAATAAACAACAGTGTGTGTTTATGGTAATGACGAAGCATGTCATCCAGTGACAGTGTGATTCACTGAAGTGTTTGTAATAGTTTTTCAACAATGATAAAGCCCTATGGCACAAAGGAAGAAGACATATCAGGCTTTGGAGATACACAATGAATACATATTTAGCAGGATACATTTACTTTTAGTGTTGGTCTTTTCCAATTTCTTGACTACAGAAAAAATATAGAATATATAAGTCTTTAAGCTTCCTTTAAGCATCAGCTTTACACTGTGACTGCATGCCCCTTTCTGATCTCTAGAGACTACAAAGATGTGGAGGCGGCCTTAAATGCCATGAAGAATGTGGCCAGGCTAATCAATGAGAGGAAACGGCGTCTCGAGAACATTGACAAGATTGCCCAGTGGCAGAGCTCTATAGAAGACTGGGAGGTGTGGCAAGAAGTATCCTTGTTCTGAAATAGTCATTGTACAGTTTGATAGAACAGCAGCAGGGCTGGTTAGCAAGTAACAGCTGTGTGTGTGTGTGTGTGTGTGTGTGTGTGTGTGTGTGTGTGTGTGTGTGTATGTGGGTGTGTGAATCCATGCAGGGAGAAGACATCCTCAGCAGGAGCTCTGATCTCATCTTTTCAGGGGAGTTAAGCAAGCTGTCCCAGCCTCAGACTAAGAGTCAACAGAGAATGTTCTTTCTCTTTGACCATCAGATGGTGTACTGCAAAAAGGTGCCTCATCAATTTATATTGTATCTGACATTATTTGATACTGATGATGTTATGACAGAAGAATCATCCTGAAGGGGGGGAAAAGGTGAACCTGTATGTTTAATGACACATTTAGACTCCTCCCAGGATCGTTCAGGCCAGTATTTCACATTTGGTCACATTATGTGCAACAGGGTTAAAAAAAAGTCTTAAAATTCCAAATACTTGTCAGTCTGTTGGCCACCTTCCATCAGTTTTGATTGTGCACAGTTTCACATTTGCAGAGCTGTATTGGTGTCATGAGTGGGCATTGCTTCCTTAAGTGGTAATGACCTAACATTTTGACGAAACAAAGGTTTGAATGAAAAGAATAATAATAATCATTAATTCATTCAAACCTTTATTTAAGACTCGAGAAATCAAGAGAGACCCGCATTTTCAATGATGTCAAGAATGAGCAAAGACATTACTAACAATCAATAAGCAAAGAACCATCATGCATACCAATTAAAACAGAAATTAAATCATGAAATGAAACAAACAATAATAGCAATAAATGATTGCTAAAAGTAGAAATACAGGATAATAAACATGATATGTTGTAGATGTGTAGTTATAAGCATTTACACTCAGTTAGAACAAGATTACAAATAAGGCATTTAAACAGCCATAAGGATAGCAGAGTGTCCAGATTTAAGGTCTTTTGCAGATTATTCCATGTATAGAGCACTGTAAGAGAATGACATTCTTCCTAGTTCAGTTCTGATTAAGGGAGTGTGAAGCAACAATCTATTCTGTGAGTGAGATTATGTGAGGTTAAATGGGATGAAATATACGGTGGAAACATCTGTATCAAAGCTTTATAAATTAACAAATACCAATGCTTTTCCCGCCCCAAAGCCAAATGTGGCAAACCGACCTTTAAGTAAAGGTAGCAGTGATGGGTGCTGTAAGAATCACGTGTTATGAACCTTAGGGCGTTATCCAAATATTAACGAAGTTTATAAAGTGTTTGTATTTTTGATAATATCAAAAATGTGCCTTAAAAATTAGATTATTTTTAATGTCTACATTAAAGAGAAAAATAAGGATAGTTTGCACGGCCCAAAGTGGTGTTCTAAAATGTCTGAGTCTGAGTAACAGCACTCACATGGCAGTATAAGGCCGTGTATCTAATTACAAAACTCGTCTATCTTGCTTTCTTTTATAGTACTTAGTTTGACTAACAGCCACAATGACCTGGGCTGAATTAACCTACTAAGGTGCAAAAATAAGCTGTAGGCCCCTACAGAACCTCTCTGTTTCTCCCACCACCTTGTGTGCACTGTATATGTATTAGGTAGGAATTAGTAATAGTTTTGGATAATGGTATGCACTGTAATGTGTAAAACTAGATTTGATTCAAGACTGTGTAAGCTTGGTGCTTCTGGACCCTGAAGGTCTTGGGGCTCAAGGACAGTTGGCCACTTTGGCTGTGTAAAAATCCAGCAATGACTGTGACTCCAAACATTAAATTTTGTAAAACTCCCTTGTTTCAACAAACTTAAAACATGTTGTACGACTCTACTGCAGCACAACAGGCTTTATTCAGACACAGTTACAGGCTATATTGTATTTATAATTTTTTCCTCTCTTTGTTCATACCTGTGGACTGAAACACACCATTTACTACTGTAATCTGTGAGCCCTGTTAGCTCTTGTTGGTACCGTGGATTACTTAGTTTTTGGATTCTTCAAAAGGATTCTTGGCTGAATTTGTCATCCTTGTCATGGCAGGACCTCTTGCGGCGGGATATGCTGTACTACAAGGGTCGGATGGACATGGACCACATGGAGGTGATAGATGTGGAGGATGGCAAGGAGAAGGACTTCAACATCAGCGTAAGGAATGCCCTGAAGCTGCGGTCACTGGCTAGTGACGAAGTCCACCTCTTGTGTGCCAAGAAGCCAGAGCAGAAACAACGCTGGCTGCGAGCCTTTGCTGATGAGAGGATTCAGGTCCAGCATGACCGTGAGACAGGTCAGATATATGCACAGTTCATGATCATGCTTAAAGAAAAACACTGTTTGATACACAAATCTGTGATCTTGTAGTTAACTGACATTGTCTCCATAACCTTTCAGCCATGCTTCATTCTCTGCAAACCACAGAGCTGATTCTATATGATCTATGCCCTCCTTTCTTCTTCCTCCACTACATCTGCATTACTACTTTAATATCCCCACTTTGTGGTGTGTCAAGAACTGTGGGCCTACCAGCAGTAAATGGATTTCTATGATGCTGATCCAAAGAATAGAGAGGCAAAATATCAGCCAGGCTTCTGTCCACAGTTGTTTGTTCTGTATTATATAAAATACAATCTCAGTGAAATTAAATCCTCTCAGTTCCATCGATGTGTGCATTACAAAAGGATCCTTTTGTCTGAGGGTAGAAGCTCCTCCTGAGCCTCTCACTACTGCCTGGTATAACCGGTACCATCTTCCCCACCTCAGCAAGGTGAAAAGGCAGTTATCTGAGTGGTTGGGATCTATAATGATTCTCCTTGCCTTATTCTTTCAGCACCTGGTATAAACATCCTTTATGCTGAGTAGAGCTCACTATACACTATAGGTGTATAGTGAGCTCAACTGCATGAACCACTCTTTGCAGGGCCTTGTGGTCCTGTTCACTGCTGTTGCTATACTAGGTAGTGATGTTCCCTGACAGGACGCTCTCAATGGTGCAGGAGTAGAGATTTCTCAGTATTTGAGGGGATACCCAGAATTTCCTCAGGCATCTCAGATAAAACAGTCTCTGCCTTGCCTTTTTCATCACTGAGTCAGTATGCAGCACCCAGGTTGGGCCCTCTGTGATGTGGACACCGAATTATTTGAAGCTGTCCACCCTCTCCACTGAGGACTCGTTGATATTAAGGGGAGTGTAGTTCTTTTGCTGCTTCTTCCCAAAGTCCACTGCCATTTCCTTAATTTTGCCGATGTTCAGGAGTAGGTTGTAATCCTCACACCAGCAGGTCAGATCCTCTTTTCATTGTTATCTGTGATCAGGCCCACCACAGCTGTGTTGTCAGCAAACTTGATGATGGTGTTGGAGTCTGAAGTGGCTACACAGTTGTGTGTGTACAGGGAGTACAGCAGGGGAATCATAGCCCTGGGGTGTTCCTGTGTTAAGGATGAGGGTGGAAGATGTGTCTCTGCCCACTCTCACCACCTGTGTCTGCCTGCCAGGAAGTCAAGGATCCACAGGCACAGTGAGGTGTTTAATCCCAGCTCCGTGAGCTTTGTGACCAGCCTGGAGGGAACCATGGTGTTAAACGCTGAACTGTAGTCAAAGAACAGCAGTCTTCCATAGCTCCCTTTCTTTTCCAGGTGAGACAAGGTGATGTTTAGGATGTGTGCTATGGTGTCCTCTGTAGATTGGTTGGGACAGTAGACAGACTGTAATGGGTCCAGTGTGCTGGTTAGTGAGAAGCAGATGTCATCCTTAACCAGCTGTTCAAAAAAAATAATCATCACTACAGAGGTAAGAGCCACTGAGCAATTGTCATTCAGGCAGGTTGGTTGCAGGAATGAAAGTGTGAACATAAAAGTTATTTAGCTAACTTGCTATAGATGCATTAGCACTGTCATACTTCTTTGACCTTGCCACATGCCCATGGGATTGCCTTCCTGGAGTTGTAGTTCCACTTTCTTCTTGTTCTTTCTTTTTGCCTCTTTTACTGCTCTTCTTACATTGTAGGCTGCTGCTTTATAATTATCGATGTTTGCTGACTGCAGTCCTAATTTGTGTTTAATCCATGGTTTCTGAATGTGGAATGATTTAGCTGTAGTTTTGGTACAGATGCTTCTGTAGTTTTACAGATTAAGTCCACCACAGACTCATTGAGTTAATTGATGTCATCAGTGATGTTGTTGGTGTCCTGGAACTCTCTCCAGACTGCATCATGCAGTGCAGGGTGGCAGTGCAGGGTGGCCTCTGATTGGCCTGACCATTTCCAGACCTCTTGCATCACTAGGGGCATGCATGGTAGCTCGTTTGCATACTTGGACCTTAGCAAAATGGCCACATGGTCACACTTCCCGAATGGGAGTTGTGACTCCACTCTGGAGTCGCATCTGAATGGTTTGTAACAGTGGTCCAGAGAGTTTATTCCCCTTTTGGTGCAGTCTATGGGCTCTAGTTTCGCAGACCGGGCGAGGCGGGGGCGCAGCACACCTGCGCTTCGCCAACTGGGTGTGGCCAGGCGGACTTTGCAAGTTTGGCACACCGTGCGCGCTGGCACAGCTACTCCTCTTTCCCACCTCCATTCCTCCTACCTGCGCAAGTCGGAAAGAGGGAGGAGAGAAGGCGTGGAGTGGGTTTTACACAGCCCATTCACATCACTCCAATCAAATGAGCCCCTCTCCTCGCCCTTAAATGCGCCGGTGTAATGAGAGTTTACTCAATTCGCCATGGCAGAAGAGAACAGCAGCGTCAGAAAGCCAAACTTCTCCCAGGAGGAAACTGATGTTTTGGTCCGGGAGGTCCAAGCTCGCAGTGTCCGAATATACGGAACTGCGAGCAGACCTCCATGGGCTGATGATGCAAAGGTAGCCTGGGAGGAGGTCACCACAATTGTAAATCAGTGTGGTGTGTCTCTCGTGCGCGCGTGCGCTGTCTCTCTTTCTCTCTCGCAGTCTCACTCTGTTTCTTGTCTTTTGACTTTTCTAAGATGACAGATGCTGATTATATACTCCCTATCTGATGCTGTGGCTGTTTGTGGTTGGCTGCGCTGCGCCGGGAAACTAGAGCCCAATGTGTTGATGGCATAACTTTCTTAAAATTTGCCTGACTGAAGTCTCCAGCAACAACGAGCACAGCATCAGGATTACTGGTCTGTTAGTTTCAACAGTAGAAAAGTACTAGAACAAATTTCTAACAGCATTTATCATTGATATCATTGCAGTTACTATGTATATAATGTGTTACCACCTGAAACTATGTGGGGGTTTTTTTTTGTTTTTTTTTTTTTCATTCATTTACATCCACTGTGCCACTTCAGCCAGTGCACCACCATAAAAAAAATCCCCTTCAGGGTTCTGTTTCTTATCATTTCATTTTAGGCTAGGTGATGCTGCCAAACGTGCATTACCATGATCAGTGTGTTTCCATTCACATACCTATTACATATCCCATCCTGCTCTTGCATCTAAACGCTGCTTGAAAGCAGTCGGAAAAAGGGTTTGGAGTCAAATGTGCATTAGCATGTTGGCCCCCGTCCAATTGCTGGGGCAACACCATCCTCGTTATACACAACTCTCTCACTGTTGCTGTTGTAGCTGACTGGGAACCCGCAGACGTGGCCTGGTGTTTCATTTGTGCTTGCCATAGTGTGACTGCTTCTCACACCTATCTGCTTGTTGTGCTAGCCTCAGGATTTGTTTCTTGTGTTTCACATGATAGGCCTACAAATATTTCTCCCTATGTCATGCTTTATCAGACTTTGATGCTTTCTTTGCCCGTCCCTCCCTGTGTTCAAGGCTTATTTGTTTATTTCGAAAGGTCTAGGCTTTTTAATGGTTCGGTATCATCATACTATTGTTAAAATAAGAGGGGGATTCACTGCATGTCAGATCTGCACCCTGCAGGAGCTTCTGTGCTTTGATCACCGGCTATGAAACAATATCCTATGACCCTCTTCCAATTTACAGTGCCACCTGAGATTATTTTGGTGAAAGTAACACAAAAGTAGTGTAATCAGTAACATATTCCTCGACAGACAGTAAAATGGTAAAGTACCTTGTTACCTTAAAGTAACTTGCCCCTCACTGACGTTGAGTCCTGCACATTTCCATACATTAAATGCTTGTTGGGTTATAGTGAGAGGATGGACAGTCTGTTGGATTCACCCTTTAGAACAAACAAACAAAATCAAGAGTAGATAATTGAGAAAACTGATAGTCCAGTCAAGTCTGGTCTGAGGACATATGGTGTTGTATGCTTTAAATGTGTGATTTGTGATACTGGGCTATATAAATACAACTGACTAGACTTCGCTTAGTAATATATTTCTTTTTCTCCTCTTAGGATTCTCTCTCACAGAAGTCCAGAAGAAACAGGCCATGCTTAATGCCTGCAAAAGCCATCCAGCTGGGAAACCTAAAGGTATGCACCCAAGGGTTCAGAGTCAGGCAAAAAATTGGATTGCATAGATTTGAGTCATGGCACATGAGATTCTAAGCACCTGTACCTGAGTGTAGTTGTATCAGTGTAGTGTTTGTATCAGTGTAGACTTTACATTTGCTTTATTGTTCATAAGTTTGATTTCCTTTTGTCAGCTAATATAATACCCCTCAGTCGTCCTAAGTCTTAAGATGATTTCCTTTCTCCCTGGGCTTGGACATGGGTAACCTCACTATGAATAATATATAAGCATTGATTTATAGTGCATACATCTGCACTGTATTGAAATCTGATGTCATCAGGACCTGTATTCTTAAAGCACCTCAGGATCACTTCTAGGAATCATGTAAAGGTTTGACTAGGGCTAAATATACTCTTCCTCTTTCAGAAATGGACAGCAGTTGTTTATAAAGATTCCTATACACTGTCTCAACAAGATAGTTATCCCTTTTGAAAATAAGTGTCAGCATTCCCGTTACTGTACTCTGCAGTACTTTGATTAATGTCAAGTTACTTTCATTTGACTCAACACTTTATGCAAGATGTTTTATATTAAAAGATTTCAAATGACTCGAAAACAACAAAAATCACCTCCTTTCCTTGTAGGGATGTAATATTAAACATCTCCAGAAAGTGTTAGGTTTAATCATCATTATCATCATCATCATCATCATCATTAAAATTAGGTTAATTGTGCTTGACGAAAATGGCAAAGTGGAGGCAAATGGCAATAATTAGTTAATGAAAACAGTATTTGAGTTTAAAAGAGTAACCGAGCAGAGCAGCAGAGTAAGGCAAGGCAAGGCAAGGCAAGTTTATTTGTAGAGCACAATTCGTACACAAAGTAATTCAAAGTGCTTTACACTTAAACTTTAAAAGAGAAGAGTGCAGATAAGATCCTTTCAGTCATATGCACAGTGAAATAGAGCTGTTTTGAGCCTAGATTTGAACATTGTCAAAGTAGAGGCCTGTCTCACATCTTCAGAAAGACTGTTCCAGATTTTAGCTGCATAAAACTGGAATCCTGATTCCCCATGTTTAGTCCTGACTCTGGGCACCAGCACGAGGCCGGTCCCTGAGGTCCTCAGAGTCTGAGATGGTTCATATGGCACTAACATGTCAGAGATGTACTTTGGTGCTAGGCCGTGGAGAGACTTGTACACAAGCAGAGCTGCTTTAAAGTCTATTCTCTGAGCCACAGGAAGCCACTGTAAAGACCTGAGCACAGGACTAATGTGCTTGTACTTCCTGGTTCTGGTCAGGACCCGAGCAGCAGCATTCTGGATGTATTGCAGCTGTCTTACGGCCTGTTTGGAGAGGCCAGTCAGCAGGCCGTTACAGTAGTCTAACCTACTAGAGACAAATGCATGGATAAGTCTCTCCAAGTCAGGTTTAGACACTATACCTTTGATTTTGGCAATGTTTAGAGTATGGATTATAACACCAGAACATTCCACCAAACCAAAAATGAAATGCTGCTGATGACATGATTGTGTACTACTACAAAGATAACAGTCCTTCAATCTATTTTTTTCTGGTTATATACACATAAACCCCGTTATTGAGGGCTGCTAACTATCTTTGCAGATGTGGCTGTTACCTTGGTTACATGGTAACGGCAATGGAGGCAGCAAAAGTGTCTCACTTCTGGAGTGATGAGGAAAAGGAGCTTTGTCTTTCTGTAATTAAATATTTAAATATAGTGGGTAGCTTGGATGGGAGAAGGCATCAAAATACTGATCTGTTCAAGTCTGTACTATAATTTTTTCTCCACTCGGAATAAGTGAACTCTGTCATGACAACTCTCTACCACCAGTCTTCATCCATTGCTCCCTTGCTCTGCGGGGTGGCAGTAAAAATGACAGACAGACACTGGTTTAAAGTTGAGGACCTGTGTATTTTTTTTGTTGCTCTCATATCACATTGCCAGCAATCAGGTGAAGGAGCCAAGTCCACAAGGCCCTGTTGGCATTTAGTTTTTTTTTTAATAGTGTTAACATCGATAAAAGCTTGAGTAAATTAAATCGATAAAAGCTTGAGTAAATTAATTTGAAGCTACAGTGAAAATATTTAAAGTGTAACAGTTACTGGATGCGAGAATGTCAGATTAATCGGTACTTAATTGCCGGTTGCTTTTGTAAACATCATTGCGCCTGTGCAAATAGAATGCAGTAATCAGTAACTGTAATACTAATATTTATCATGTTTACAGGGAATAAAAATAACTTGATTTCGCTGTACTCATGTAAACACCATATCCTGAATATGACCATAATAGTGACAAGCCTCATAAATGGGTTATCCACGTACATTTATACACACTGATTGAAAACAGTAAGTCTTTGTTGTGACCTTTTATTGTGACCTGTTGAAGGTCACAGCTAGCAGATTGTGAGGAGAATATATATATAATATAATTTGACTATATTAAAAAAAAAATAACTTTAGTAACTTTAATTATAAAGTGTCTTGGACTAGAATCACATCCGTCTGTGATTCTAGTCCAAGACACTTTTTGTGAAATCAAATTATACAATCTCCTCACAATCTGCTGGCTGTCTGGGTGCACAAAAAAAAATTCAGCGTTCATACACAGCCCTGGTGCTGTAAACAGAAAACAAATAAAGTATCTCAGGCCAGTTCACACAACACTATTGTAGCCAATAGTAACAGTGTTAATGCTTATGCAGACAACAAGAAAAAGGGTGTGGAAAAAGAGAAAGAGGCAGCTGGAGCAAGAGGAACAGTGTGTTTGGCAGCACATGCTGATGTGTTGAAATCCACAGTGCAGTATGAAGAGGATTTATAATCAGTGAGAGAGCTCAGTGAGTTGAAAGGCATGAAGATGGATGCAGAGGTTGCTCTGTTAGACAGGTGGCTAATATTAGTTTTGCTGTTTTAAAGAATACCTGTGAGAATCGCTAGATGCAGCTGGTGTGTTGGTTTTGGGAAACTGTCTCGTCCTCTCAGCATGTGATATTCGCAGCAGCAACTGTAGCGACAGCGCGATTGCTAATGCTAACAGACAGCTTTATTAACATTAGTTACATCACTTGCTGTGTCACTTTTCTTTTTTTTCTTTTTTTTTTTTTAAGATATGTTTTGGGCATTTTGAAGCCTTTAATCGATAGGACAGAAGAGCGTGAAGGGTGAGAGAGAGGGGGAGTGACATGCAGCAAAGGGCCACAGGCTGGAGACGAACCCGGGCCACTGCGGCAACAGCCTTGTACATGGGGCGCCTGCTCTACTACTAAGCCACTGACGCTCCGTGTCACTTTTCAGTATGTATGCTGTGCAGTGTTTGCAAAAGATTTTATAGCCACGACGACCTAAAAAGGTTGCACAATCCTATTTTGATTGATGCAGGCATCAAAGGGAAACGAAGACAGCCAAATTCAGAAGGTTTTAAGAATAGGAGTTTAGTAATTAATAATAATAATACATTTTATTTATAAGGCACCTTTCATGGCACTCAAGGTCACCGTACAACAATCAATAAAAATTACAGGTAATACAATTGTGACCAAGTGATAGTAGGTACCTAAAACCCAGAATAAACTGGAACCAGAGACTGCTATACCAAAAAAATAGAGATTTTATTGACAATGTATGACAAGCAAGGTAATTTAATAAAAAGCTTAAATTAGTGTCAGTCAGTAAGCCGACAACAATAGGACAAAGAAAATAAACAATGTGAGGCTAAGCTGCACATTCAGGTGTGTGTCTCAGTGCAGGAAGAAAGGCCCAGGTGAGCTTCCCGTCCCCATTTGTAAACTCTGCCCCTTACCTGGATCCTACTTCCTGCTACCTTCCCTTCCACACAATTAAAACACATCTAAAATACAACAGAAAAACAGTGCAGAGTTTGCAGCAGAACATTAAAAGACAGAGGAAACATTAACACTCATACGCCTGCCTAAACAGGTAGGTTTTGAGGTGGGACTTGAAAACTAAAATAGAGTCAATGTTCCTGATGTCAGGGGGGAGGGAGTTCCAGAGACGAGGGGCAGAGCAGCTGAAGGCTCTGGACCCCATGGTGGACAGACGGGCTGGGAGGACAGTCAGGCTGATGGAGGAGGCAGACCTGAGAGACCAGGTAGGGATATTGATGTGTCGGAGGGCAGAGAGGTATGAGGGAGCGAGGTTATGGATGGTCTTGAATGTATGGAGGAGGATTTTATAGTTAATACAGTGTGTGTGATGGGAAGCCAGTGGAGTTGATGTAGAACGTGGGTGATGTGACTGATGAATGGTGTTCTGGTGATGATACGGGCACCAGCGTTCTGGAGCAGTTGAAGTTTATGGAGGAGTTTGTGGGGGAGACCAAAGAGAAGGGAATTGCAGTAATCCAGGCGGGAAGTGACCAGAGAGTGAACCAGGATTGCGGCGCTACTGGGAGTGAGTGAAGGGCGGAGGCGGTTGATGTCGTGGAGGTGGAAGTAGGCAGACCGGATGGTGTTGTTGATGTGGGTGTGGAATGATAGGGTGCTGTCGAGGACGACACCCAGACTCTTAACCTGAGGGGAGGGGGAAACTGAGGAGTTGTCTATGGTAGGGAAGGTGGAAGTGGGTTTGGAGGAAACGTAGAGCTGGTTGTCATCTGCGTCACAGTGGAAATGGATATTATGTTTAATGTATATATATATATATATATATATATTATGTTCCAAGTGGGAGGAGGTAAATAATAAATAGGATAGGGCCAAGGACAGAGCCCTGGGGAACACCGGAGGAGAGGGGGGATGGATGGGATATGTATGATTTCAACTGGATGAACTGAGTACGGCCAGGAAGATATGAGTGAAACCAGTCTAGGGGTGTGTCAGTTATACCAATGGAAGCTAGTCTGTCAAGGACGATGGAGTGTGATACGGTGTCAAAGGCTGCGCTCAAGTCAAGGAGGATGAGGATGGATAATAGTCCGGAGTCAGCTGCCATTAGGAGGTCATTTGTGATTTTAAGGAGGGCCGTTTCTGTGCTGT